GTTGCAGCTTTTCCTGTAACAAATAAATCTGTCTTGGAAGCCTTAAGAATTGTTAGCAACTAAGGCTGCCCTATTACTTCAGAAAAATTTAATGTCTGATTTGCCCACGTCTGCTCAGAATTTCTTACTTTTGCTTAGTTCTCTCTCTCTCTCTTTCTTTCTCTCTCAAAAAAGGTTATAGAGCCCTTTCTCTAAGCTGTGGAAGTTCTCCTGGCGGCCTTCCCCATCTGCCCACCCCACCTCACACATCACAATGCCCAGGAAAAACCTGAGCTCTTGGCATTTAGAAGAATAGGCTGGGGTTGGGTCTGTAAGAATCTCTGTTGCAGATGTAAAGGCATTTGCTCCCATAGTCCTTGTTCAAAGACCATGCTGAGAATGGTTGAACTTGAAACTCAAATGATGGGAACACTTACTTGCATTCTACAGATAAGTCCTTCAAGGCCAGAGAAGCTCCTGACAGGGCTGGAGGTCACAGACTGAGGGAGGGTCACCCTTGTCATTGTTATCCAGTGGGTCTCAAAGTTACCTGTCTGGCAGTATTTGACAAAGGATCAACAAAATCCTTCCAACATATTTGCAATGTGTGTGTGTGTGTGTGTGTGTGTGTGTGTGTGTGTGTGTGTGTGTGTGTGTTACTAGGGTTTGAATTGAGGGCCTTGTACTTGTTAAGCAAGCACTCTACCATTTGGGCCATGCTGTTAGTCTTTTTTGCTTTAGTTTGTTTTAGACAGGGTCTGGTCTCTTGCTTTTGTCCTGGCCATCCTTGGACAGTGATTTTCCTACAAGCTTGGCCCATCATGCTTGGCCCATAATTTGGTTTTAAACCAAATTATTTGCTTTTGCTTGTCAACGAAACTATGGATCAAGCCCCCCTCTGCAGAAAAATAGCTGGATAAAATTCTTGAAACATTAGCACATGCTAACATTTCTCTCATGTTGGTAAGGTTAGATTCCCTAGCCTTGCAGTCCTGGGCGCCTAACTGCATAGGTATGGGGGGGGAGGGCTGGGTTTTCCATGCCTACTCCAGAGTGGTTCTGGGGTCTGCAGAGCTTAGTTTGAGATGGAGACTTTGAGAGTCCTTCCCGTATCCCACCTTTTTTGGCAGTGGAAGAGCTGGAGGCAGCCAGGGAACATGTTTTGAGGGGTTTCTTCAGGATCTCCCCAACAGGAAAGGAATGACCTCCTTAATTAGTTGGCAAGGTGAGGAGTAGAGAAGGATCAGGAGGCTAAGTGTCTAGAACAAGCCTCCTGGGTGGGGAGTCTTGAGTGTGGGGAATGGAATGGGGAGGGCAGGTGGGGAGGGGTGGGTGGGAGGGATATAACCTTCTTGGAATTTAACTTTGATCTTGAGGAGATCTAGCGGCCGGGTTCTACCAAACAATACGGCACCATTATTATAAACTTGAACTTTGGCCAATAATTAACAAAGCATCTGGATCCGTTTTCCACAGGTTCTTCCTTTTGATTTTTTTTTTTTATTTGTCTACAGCTTTATTAGGACATAGTTTCCATATTGTACAGTCCATTGGTTTTGGTTTGTTTTTGTCTATTCACAGAATTGTGCAATAATTACCACAATCAATTATGGAACATTCTTATCTCCTTAAAAATCAACCCTAGTTTGGCGCCAGTGGCTCATGCTTATAATCCTAGCTACTCAAGAAGCTGAGATCTGAGGATGGAGGTTCAAAGCCAGCCAGGCAGGAAAGTCCATAATATTCTTATCTACAATTAACCACCAAGAAGCTGGAAATGGAGCTGTGACTTAAGTGGTAAGGCTCTAGCTTTGAGGGAAAAAGGCTAAAGGACAGTGCCTAGGCCCTGAGTTCAAGCCCAAATACTCTCACACACACACACACACACACACACACACACACACAACACCACACCTATTAGCTTTTACCTCTCTCTCCAATCTCCTTCCAGCACTCATTAGCCAGTAAGCTACTTTCTCTCTCTCTGGATTTGATTAGACAGTTCATGTAATTGGTCTCATATAAGATGTGATCTTCTATGCCTGGCTTCTTTCACATAGCACAGTTTCAAGGCTCATGCATGTTGTGGCATGTATAAATATTTCACTTGTTTATTACTGAAGAAAATATTCTATTGGATGGACATGCCACATTTTTCCATTCATTCATTCATTCATTTTTCTTTTTCTTTTTTTTTGTCGGTTGTGGGGCTTGAACTCTGGGCCCTGTCCCTGAGCTCTTCAGCTCAAGGTGAGTGTTCTACCACTTAAGCCACAGCACAACTTCCGGTTTTCTGGTAGTTAATTGGAGATAAGAGTCTCACAGACTTTCCTGCCCGGGCTGGCTTTGAACCATGATCCTCAGATTTCAGCCTCCAGAATAGCTAGGATTACAGGCATGAGAGACTGGTGCCCAGCTTGGCTCATTCATTCATTTGATTCTTCTTGAGTTTCCTCCTTCTTTTGGCAATCATGGATAAAACCACTAAGGGTGTGCAACTTTTGTGTGGGTATGTATTTTCATTTCTAGAGGTGGAATTACTAGGTCCACAGATAACTCTATGTTTAACTTTTTAAGGAACTGCCAAACTGTTTTTTAAACCCCTCAACTTTTATTATTACTATTTTTATTACTATTTTATTAGCATATATTAATAGTACAAGGGATCTCATTGTGTTTAATTCATAGACTTTATTTTTTTTGCTGATACCATGCCTCATGGTTGATCATGGCCTCCTGCTTCATCAGTTTGCTTGCTCAGGGAAGGCACTCTACCACTTGAGCCATGACTCCAGCCCTACTTTTAGCTGGTAATTTTGGAGATGGAGTCTCAAGGTCTTTTCTTGCCAGGCTGGCTTCAAACTGTAATCTTCTAGGTCTCAGCCTCCTGAGTAGCTAGGGTTGCAGGCATGAGCTACAGGTGTCTGGCTGACTCTAACGTTTTTTGTTGTTATTGTTGTTGTTTGGTTTGGTTTTTAAGTCAACCCGAATTCAGTGGCTCTGAAGCATCCTGTCAGAGTTTGGTTACATATAACTTGCTCAAGTATGACTAAAGATTTACTGTAAGCAAGTGTTTGGGTATCCAGAAGCCAAGCTCCAGTTACAAGGGTGTTAATGGCATACCCTTGAAGGCTATATTTGTGTTCATAAAACTCACAGAAAAGAAACTCACAGCTATGAATGTAACCAGGAACGAAAAGGGAGGAAAAGGAAAAGGGGAGTGGGGAGGAATGGCAGTACAGTAACACTGAGGTAGTAGTAGCTTTGGAGAAAGTTCTTTCAGTGGCCGTATGAGATGAATAAAGCTATTAGGTAAAAACTATGTGGCATCTTTCCTGCATAGAGAAAAGAAATATTTGAGCACTTAGAAATATTTCAATATTGTATGAAGTACAAAATACATGTAGAGGAATGTGCAAATCTTAAGTGAACTCTGACTTTTCCTAATGACCCTTGTATGTAAGTAGCACGCACGCATTGAGAAATGGCTTGACACCAGCCCCCTCACCTTCCCCTGCCCCCCTTTCCAGAGTAACTATCTGCAAGGGAAGGAGGATATCCTGACTTCTAGCACCAACATTCTTAGACACAGGAATGTATTTTTAATGGCCAGTTTCAGGTGTCAAGGGCAGGCCAATAGGATAGATTTGCTTAGTTGGGAGAATGTCTTAAGACTCTGGCTGACTTAACTCTATTGCATGGTGTAATAATACATTCTTTAAATACTTTAAAGCCTGTCTATACAATAAGCGGTATAACCTTAGCACCAAGAAACTGAAATTTTAGTGTATACACCATGGGTGGTTTTCTTTCTTTCTTTTCTTTTCTTTCTTTCTCTCTCTCTGTCTTTTCTTTTTCTTTCTTTCTCTTTCTTTTTCTTTCCTTTCTCTTTCTTTCATTCTCTCTCTCTGTTCCCTTCCCTTCTGTCTGTCTCTGTCTCTATCTCTGTCTCTGTCTCTGTCTCTCTCTGCTGAGTGAAAACAACAGACTTCAAACATTAATTGAAAAAGACCTCTCCATTTCCCTGCAGGCTCAGTTTATTCCCAAGAGTAGGCTGATAGGAAGTCCCGTGGACCATTAATCACAAGCACTTTAATAATTTAAAAAGTGTGTATGTAAACACAAACACATTAGCAGTACATAGCATCGTGGGTTGAAGTAAGTAATGACCAAAAATAAATGCAACTTTCACAAGCAGAACAGGGAAAGTGGGAAGCGTTTCTCTGGGGGAAATTATCTTCCAGATCCTCAGGAAGGTCTTGCCAATAAAACAAGCTTTGTCGTAATATTGAGACTGGGTGCAAAGTGACACGTTCTTATCTAATCGTTTTATGCATGTCACTTCGGATGCATCAGGAACAAGGTGTATTATGGGGGGGGGGAGAGAAAGATCCTTTCGCAAAGGTGAATCATTTCTTTTGAAAAGCTCCCATGTTGTTTCACAACTTGGCAAGGCAGACTCGGATTCTGTGATCGGGCTACTTTTCGGGGAAGTTTGGTTGTCCCTTGTTTGTTCCACGGTTCCATCAGGGGATGCTCATAGCTCCCGCAGCCCAAGCCGGGCTCGGGTAACCCGGTGTGCCCACGTGGGTCAGGGCGGCCTGGATTTTTCCTTTTTGGAGACGAAGTCCACTCCACAGCCCCCCCCCCCCCATCCCCGTCCCGGGCCCCGTCAGGAAAGCCCCCCCCCCGCACCCCCTTCTCCAGACGGCCAGATGGGGGGCAGATCGGCCTCGTCCTGGCCCAGTTCACGACTTCCGCGCTCCCCCCCCCCGCTCCTGTCGCAGGGTGGGGTGAGGGGACATTGGAAAGGGGGCCCGGGTCACCTCTGGGTGGGCGGGGACCGACTCCGCACCGTCGGCGGCCGGCTCGCCGAGGCCCCGGGGACCGGACACCCGTCCCGGGCTGGGCGTGGGCCGGCGCGCGTGGGGCGGAGCGGCCGGGGGCCGGCAGGTGGGAGCGGCCGGCGGGCGCCGCGGCGCTGGCGACCGCGAGCGGTGGTTGGGCGCCGGGTGCATTTCCTTCCCTCCCCCCCCCCCCCCCCCCCCCGGGCTCGGATCCCGCCCGCGGTGCCCAGTGCGCGGCGCCCTCGGATCCGCCCGGCTCCGGGTCTCCTCCCCGCCATCGCCGGCCGCTCCGCTCCTCGCGCGTCCATGTCTCTGCCCGTGGTGCTCCCGGGCTCTTGCTGCCCGGTAGCGGGCCTTTCGGGGGGTCCTCAGTCCGGGGGTGCAGGCACGGCGGCCGCCACCGCCCAGGAGCCGCCGCTGCCCCCGTTGCGGCCGCGCTGGTCCCGGAGCGCGCGGCCGCCCCCGGCGCGGCCTCGCGGCGCCGCCGCCGCCGCCACCGCGGGGGCCGCCGGGGTTCTGGCCGCGCCGCCCGCGCTGTCCGCGCGCCGGGCCGCCGCGGGCCCCGGCCCCGGCCCCGGCCCCGGCCCCGGCCCCGCGCTGCTGCCCGCGCGCCCGCTGCTGTCGCTCGGGCTGCTGCAGCTGGTCCTGGGCTGCTGCATGGTGGCGCTCAGCTTCGGGGCGCTGTCTCTGAGCAGCTCCCCGCAGGTGAAGAACTCGTGCCCGTTCTGGGCCGGCTCTTCGGTGAGTACGGCGTGCGCACCCCGCTGGCCCCGGCCAGTGCCCCCCCTCCACCCCCCGTCCCAGGGCTGCGTTTAGGGGAGCGCACACCCCGTGAAGACTGGGGAGATGCTGAGTGTGTGGGGGAGTCAAGTTCAGGGGGGGGCGGGGAGGGAGCTGGGCACTGTCTGTCCTCAGGCTGGAGGATTTTATTGTCACCCCCCCCCCCCCACATCAAGTTATTATCATAAAACAAAGCGATCGAACTCTTGGAGAGACTGGACGCAGGATGGCATGAATGCAGATTAGATGTGCGGGATGGACGGAGTGACAAGGGACAGACAGGGCCCCCTGAACGTGCCTGGTGTTGGATGGCTGCCACTCTTCCTTGAGAAAGAGGTAATGGGAGGGTGCGTGGAACTCGCTGCCTGCTTGCACCCGGTCATTAAAAGAAAGGCCCCCCTCACTCCAGGCGAGCCCCTGGTGCCCTGGCAGACTGCTCTGCACAATCTGATTCTCAAGAAATAGAACCTGTCATTACGGAGGAGCCCTGGGAGTGTGGGGCAGGTGGCTGGAGACTTGCTCCCGACCCAGTCCTGAGCTTGTCTAGCAAGGAAGATTTATTCTCCAGAGAAGCCTAACCTCCAGCCAGCCTGCCCCAGCGTCTGTCTCTCCTACCTCCTTCCGAAGACTTCTACAAGTTGCGAGACATGCAGCCCCGTGAGGTTTGCAGGCAGCGAGAAGAGGTGGACACAGTTCTTTGGAATGATTGTAGAGGATCAGCAAAGTAAATGATAGCTATGAACTAAGGCAACCCGGTAGTATGGCAGTTGCTATAGGTTTTACAACTATCTGCAGTTGAGTCAACGTCTGTATTTTGTAGAAACTGTGCTCTTAAAGGGTCACACATTACCCAGCTCCAAAAGCAAAATTTAAGAGTGTAGGGAGCACTTATTAAACCTAGAGTAATTGCTTGAATGAAAACCTTAAGAGCAGCAGGTTCCTTGAGTTTGAATGGAAAAATTTGCACTTCCTGTGGACCAATCCACTCTTCTTTTGAAATACTTAGATGATAGACGGTCATACTGATAGCCATCTGGCCTGGGCTGTGTATGGGGAGTGAAACTCACAATTTGTGCATCAGTTGGACAAAATTCTGTCTCTGGCCTTGCCTTGGGACCTTGCCACTGTTTTCTGGAGGCTGGGTATTCCAAGCAGTGTAGGAATTAGATCCCTTTGTCTCCCTACAACACTTGCCTGGCAGCAATCAGCCAAATGGTAGCTGTGTTTTATTCCTTGGGATGCCACAGGCCAGATTCTTATGTAATTTTTAAATTATTATTCATATTTTAAAAGGAATTTGCTGTTTGTAAAATCACAGTCTATGTGTTATCAAAGATAGATAGTTTAGGACTCTCTCTCTCTCTCTCTCTCTCTCGTGCACACATGCATGGGCATGTCAGGGCTTGGGCACTGTCCCTTTTTTTGTTAAAGGCTGGCACTCTACCACTTGAGACACAGGTACGCTTCAGGCTTTTTGGTATTTAATTGGAGGTAAGAGTCTCACAGACTCCTCTGCCCAAACTGGCTTTGAACCTCAATCTTCGTAGCTCAACTTCCTGAGTAGCTAGAATAATAAGCGTGAGCGGCTAGTACTTGGCTGATTTTCTTTTTCCTCTTCTAATGTTCAAACCTGAAATCAGTTTCCTTTTGAGAATTATTTCAGAGGTAAATAAATGCTCTTAGATGTCAGCTGAACTGCAATTGGATTTGATGAAGTATAACACAAAGATTATCAGTAGGAGATGAAGGCCAGTACTCTGGGCTTGCCAGTAGACATGTCCTTATCTCTGAATTGAACCAAACAGAGAAGGAAGGAGCAGAGAAGAGCAGAGAAGGAAGCAGAGGGTTTGGAATGGGACTCTCTCTCTCTCTCTCTCTCTCCTCTCTCTCTCCTCTCTCTCTCTCTCTTTCTCTCTCTCTCTCTCTTTTCTGTCATCGGGCTTGAACTCAAGGCCTGGGCACTGCCACTCAGATCTTTCACTTAAGGCTAAGCTCTACCACTTTGAGCCACAGTACCACTTCAGTGTTCTGGTGGTTAATTGGAGATGAGAATCTTATGGACTTTCCTGCCCAGGCTGGCCTTGAACCTCAATTCTCAGATCTCAGCCTCCTGAGTAGCTAGGATCACAGGCCCAAACTACCAGCGCACTGTTCCTGGATTCTCTTTTATTATTCCTAACCCTGTAACATCTTTGTTTTGTGACATGTTCCTGACATTGATCTCAGAATCTGCAGAATCATAACAGGACCAATCGATATAACCACAGAACAAGTAAATGAGATTTAAAGAAAGTACTATAAGAATACTATGATTTTCTTGATGCCTTAGGACAAAAAAGTGTGTCATGTTTTGAATTTGTGTAGGTGAGAGAAGTTAGGTTTTTGTTTAAGGCCTTGCATTATAGAGAGTTTTAGATTTATACCAACACTACAACAAACCTATAGATAGCCCTCACTCCATTTCAAAATGGTTTCACCTCTTCTGTAACCCATCCTGAGCTCTGCTGCTGTGAGAGTTCTGGTAGCTTCCAGAAGCATGGGTGAGAATTAGGTCCAGTCCAGTTACTGTTTTGTTTTGAATCAAATCTCAGGCATCTTCTCATTCCATGTATAAATATTTCAATGTGTGCATATATTTTTTAAAGAAATGCAAATGATTAAGTTCAGGTATTTATTTTAGGCACTTCTATGCAATTGTAATTTTGAGCTTTTGTTAACAAATATTTTTTATTGTTATTATTGTTATTATTAAGGTGCTATACAGAGAGATCACTAAAACATGTCAGGTAATAAGTACACTTCTTTTTTTTTTGGGGGGGGGTCCAGTTATGGGGCCTGTACTCTGGGCCTGAGTGCTGTTCCTCAGCTCTTCAGCTCAAGGCTAGCACTCTACCACTTGAGCCACAGCGCCACTTCCGGCTTTTTTCTTTTTGCTTATGTGGTGCTGAGGAATCAAACCCAGGGCCTCATGCATGCAAGGCAAGTGCTCTACCACTGAGCCACCTTCCCAGCCCAATAAGTACAATTCTTTGTGGACAGTATTTCCCAGTTTCTCCTTCCCGTCCTTGCCCACCAGTTGAATATTTTATTTTCTCTGTACTGTATACTATCATGCCTGTATTTGTTTATCCTTTCTTCCTCCATTTCTGCATCCCATTCTCCTCACTAAAAAGACAAAAACAAACCTAAAAGCAAAGACAAATTACCACTATCACTAACAGCAAAGCCCTCTTATTTCCCTTTCCTAGAATTAATTTTGATAAATAGTATTTTAAATGTTCAGAGGAGTAAGGCCTTTGTTTTTTTGTTTTTGTTTTTTTGTCGGTCCTGAGGCCTGAACTCTGGGCCTGGGCACTGTCCCTCAGCTCTTCAGCTCAAGGCAAGTGCTCTACCACTTGAGCCACAGCGCCACTTCTGGCTTTTTTCTTTTTGCTTATGTGGTGCTGAGGAATCGAACCCAGGGCCTCATGCATGCAAGGCAAGCGCTCTACCACTGAGCCACCTTCCTAGCCCCTCAATGTATATTTTTAAATAGATCATGTAAATCTGGTGTTGGTGGCTTACTCCTATAATCCTAGCTACTCAAGAGGCTGAGACCTGAAGGTTGAAGTTTGAAGTAAATTCCAGCCAATGAAGTCCCTATGAAACTTATCTCCAATTAACCACTCAAAAACCAGAAGTGGAGCTGTGACTCAAAGTAGTAAACAGCTAGTCTTGAGCAAAAGAGCTCAGGGACAGTGTCCAGGGCCTGAGTTCAAGTCCCATGATGGACAAAAAAATAAATAAATAAACGAATAAAAAGATCATGTAAACAGCACAGAGAGATTCCAAGAAGTGAGCAAGAAGTCTTAAGTGCCCCTGGCATTTTGCATTTCATTAAGAGAAACACTGAAATATCAACACATGAGCCCATCGATCCAACACCAGCCATTGTAACTCCTCTCATACTTCAAAGCAAACTCCAGATATAACATTAAGCATTAACTACTTCAGTACAGAGTCAGGCACTGGTGGCTCATGCCTGTAACACTAGCTGTTCAGAAGGCTGAGATCTGGGGATGGCAGTTTGAAGCTCAGGCAGACAAATCTGCGAGAAGAGCTCTTATCTCCAGCCCAAAGCTAGAAGTGGAGGTGTACCAGAGTAGAGTACCAGACTTGAGTGGAAAAAGCCAAGTGGAGTTTGAGGCTGAATTCAAGCCCCAGTACTGGAATGAAACAAAACAAATATCTCAGAGTGTTTTTCTAAAAAGAAATATGGTACATTGCAAATAATTCAGATCCTTAAATTGTTTATTTTTAAACAGAGCTCAAAATTACGGCAGAAATGAAAAAAAAAACAGTATTCCTGATTTTTTTTTTAATTGTGAAAATACTGTACAGAGGGGTTACAATTACATGGGCAAGATAATGAGTACATTTCTTATCAAGCATTGTAGCCTCCTCCTTTGTTTCCCCTTCCCATCCCTTCCCATCCTCCCCCTACCCAATCCTCCCCGCACCTCCCCCACCCCCGCACCAAAGTTGTGAAGTTCGTTTTAGACATAACGACTTGTACATCTCATTGTTGCAATGGGTCCACCTGTATCCCTATTTAAACGATTTGTTTTTCCCCTTCCCCTCCACAAATTATACCAACATCAAATACAGTGAAAGCAGGGGTTATACTGTGGGGGAGGGACATACAAAGCAACAAAGAAATAATCTTATAAATGTGTTAGAAACAATCTCATGAAAGAAAAAAAAACATTTGAATACATATCTTAGGGTTCATTTCCCTAACATCACCTTATCTGACCTTTTCTGCTTGACTCAGACATGTACTAGATATTGCAAATAAGGGAAACCATGGGACCTATGTTTTCCTGATGTCTTTGATTTAGAGTTTACATGTCATGGAAGTCATCTGAGTACATTCCATAGCTTTTCAGTAAATCCAGTCATGCAACCATCATCACACTCAG